AGTTATTCGTACAAAAGAGGTTTTGAAGTCCATGTTCTTATGGGAAAAATGTTTAAGAAATGTTTCAACATCTGCCATTTCGATTGGTTCAAAGAACACATTAACATGGAATTGGCACGGTTACACATTTAGGATCATTCGAGGTTGAAATAAGGGGAATATGAGGTTGCTACTGACGTGTTTTTTAACCCGATGTAACCATGCTATGTTCTTGATTATACTCGCTACAGCCTTATTGATCTGGAACGTCCGGCGTGTGTATTTTGACGAATTATTAATGAAGTTCAGCGCAGTTGCTGTAGACGGCTGTAAAATCCTACAACAACATAAGTAGTCCATATACTTTCTTTGAGACAGAATTACCGACGTATGTTCATAACATAGTGTAGCAAAGGATAACTAAACTATTGCATTATAAATTAATTTGATGAAGAAAACGGATATTAAGACATGATCACGTGAAGTCATGCGTGTTATTGATCATAGGGGACTAGTCAGGAGTTAATTAAACGATTCATCGAAACTCGACATGAATCAATTACGATTTATCGTGAATTCAATAGGGCTATGTTAATTAAAGTGTAAATCAGTACATATACATATATTTACAGTGAGCTCACTCCCTTTCATGGCCTTTTTATCTCGCGTGTACGTGAGCGGTTTCCATTTTAGGAGATATCTTTATAAGCTATGAGATATGTTCAAAATGTATGTCCACATAATGTAACAGCTATACTGTGAGAGATAATCGCATAAGAAATAGCGACACTGCAGATAAAGGAACACAGTTTGGTAATACTTGCCTTTATATTTTTTTTATAGTAATTCATGCCCAACGAGAGTTTGTTTGTTCGAATGTATTGCTCATAATTGACCATACTGCCGTAATCATTAATGACACCAAAATATAAGAATATAAATAAGCACTTTCATTGTTTATAGCAGCTGGTTTTGACTATGATATTATATTGAGGTTCACGATGTCCTTTTTGTGTATTTTCTTAACTCCTGTTCTTTTTCATGTTTGATTAAAGTTCCGACTTTAAATTTGATGTAAAAATATATTTCAAATATCAACTTTAAACTAGTTTTATGTCTTTCATAGCTCTCGATATATTCCTTACTTAATCTGCACATTTAAAAGAAAATATCTGTTTAAATAAATTGAATATTTTTCTATTAATTTTATTGTATGTATAACCAGTTTTTAATAGACAATATCCAACAACACCCACAAGCATTATAGAAAGGATTCCGCAAAAATAAAAATAAAATTATATTCTTTTTTCCCTTTAATGAGAAACAGAAGTGAAATCAGTATGTTGTTTGTTGCTGGTAATGAATATCTTAAAAAAATCTACTCATGATGTGTAAAATAAATTGAAAAAAAAGAAATATCGTAATCGTCTGAGTATACATAAAATGACGATTTTTCAACTTATGTCTCAGAAGCCCTACATAATATAGAACATTGAACCGTGGACAGAATGATGTAAGCTGAAAACCACATATTGCTTGAAAGGCACTTGAAACTTCGCAGTTATCCAGTAGTGTTGATTTGTGTATCACCGCCGGATATGTAAATCACTATGTAAGTGCTTTTTTCAGACGAGTATTTTAATTAGAAGATCTGGACCAGGTAACAGTGCTAATTTACTGATAATGAAGTACCTACCAACCGTGAAGCTTACACACGCCACAGCTAATAGCTACTTCATTATACCGAACCGTT